AATATATTTTTAATATTTTTTTTTTATCATTTTGGCAAATATTGGAAAGCATTTTGGCCATAAACGCTTTTACATTTTCCCACCTCTTTTTTGAATTTTTTTAAAATACCTTAAGTAGAAACTCAGTTTTTAAAAGAAACAGTTTTATATAAAGCTTAGTACCTCAAAAATTTATTATAAGAGCTTGTTTTGATGTTAAAAAATCCTCAAATCGATCATCGCGACCTCGAGATGATAGACATGAAAAAAAATACTTTTTATGTTTGGGAAATAATACATCTTATAATGCATTATTTGGGCTGTCAATTTATAGTTTCGAGTGTTTATCGATATACACTTTTTTGAAGCTTTAAATTTTATCATTAGACATGAAAAAAATATTTTTAGGCTATCACAAAGATCTTTTCTTTTGAAAAATCATCTTTCCATACTATTTAGAAGTGTGTCTTACTTTGATTGTTGAGGGCCTCAACTTTATAAAAACCGCACCTTTTTTTTTAATCTATTTTTTCAATATTTTTAGGAAACTTGCATATACCCCCCAAGTCTGAGCATCTTAAGCAATCTCCATCAAACACAACTTTCTTTACAACTTTTACCCATATCATATATTTCCAGCAAATGCACCCCCAAGTCGAAAAGAAAAGTAAAAAAATACCAAAATGCCATCCTTTAAGTTAAAAGGCCCTTGTTTTTTTTCAGTCGTGGTCTCGGTCTGGCAACAAAATAGGCGATCCGGCACTACCTACATGCGGTTCGGCACATCCAACATTCGATCTGGCAATTGTTTTTTTGTCTAGGCTTTCGGTGTGGCAAAAAGAATGCGGTATGGCACTAGGTGCCCTCAGTCCGGCAAATATTTGATGGGGTCTGACAGTTGTTCTACATGGTCCGACACGTCTTTACGTCGGTCCCGCATGTCTTTACGTCGTTTCGGCAATTGTTTACTATGGTCCGGCGGTCAACATTTGGTTACGTATTTTACGAGGATGTGACGTGAGCTTGTGTGGACAAAGGCATTTTGGTCTAAATAAATAGAACTTTTTGACTAGGGGGTATTTGCTAGAAAGTTACTTTTTGGGGTGGGACGTTGGGTAGAAAATCCATGGTTGTAAAGTATATGCAATTTTCCCATTTTTTTAACTTTTGTTAATTTTCACTTTGAATATATTTTTTCTATTTTTTAGGATTTTTTTATTTTTTAATGACTTTTGAGAGCTACAGTACTCGGCCCTACATGGGCCGGGTTAATCAGACTCGGGTGAGCACTCGTCTTGGGGCATGCATCGAGTAGTTAGCCTGAGTCGACTTTTCCAACACTGATATGGATGTTGAAAATGGAAAAGAACATGATATTTATTTGAAAATGGACGTTATTTGAAAAATATTAGACGTGAGAGATTCTCTAATAACTGATATAACGGTGGGCGACATTTTATTCAAGAAAAAGGGAATGTCAGTGTTCTGCGACTCAGCGGGCTTCACTCGGACTCGAGCAAATTACTCAGACTCAAGTGCCGAGTAGGGATGAGTTCCAAGGCAACTTGCCGATTTTTAGTAAAAATGAAAAATAAAAGAAGTATAAATAAAATAAAAAAGAAAAACTTCACCATATTACTTACAATTAATTTTTCTAATGAGTTTGATAATTTTTAAGGTGATTTGAGAATTTTCACATTTTTTCTTTTTTAAAATTTTTAAAAATATTCAATATGTAAATCAAAATTTTCAATAATCCATTTTTTATATTATTTTTTTATTTTTTTAGACCTTTAATGATTTTTGTACCTCTTTTATGTTTTTTATTATTTTTTAACAATTTTTAATTTTTCATTTTTTTTTTTTCTTTTTTTTCCTTTTATTGGGGTTATGCTGGACCTAGTCGACTCCACTAGACCTTTGAATCAACTCTCATCCACAAAGGGCTAAGTCTCTTGGTCGAGTCGAGTTTCTTTCTTATCCACAAAGGGCTAAGTCCCTTGGCCGAGTCAAGTTTTTGAACACTGCGGTATACAGTAGTTGCTTCTTTGGAAAAATGGATATGCAGCCAGTTTTTTGAAAAATTGGATACAACAATGTATAATGCTTGCTTTTCCAAATTTATACATATGTATATATGGAAAAAGTTAATATAAAGTTTCAACCTTATACTATTGAAGTATGGTACATCTCAAAAATATTATAGAAGAAAGTGTTCCAGAGAACTCTCCAGGAGATAATCTAAACCTCGAGATACATGCATATAAAGAAAAAAAGAATCTCAATATTTAAAAATAGTGTATTTGGGAGAAGTTATCTAGATCATTTATTTTCAAGTATTTATAGTTCGGCTTGATCTTTATTATTTTTATAATGTTAAATTTTAAAATAAATATAAATAATAAATTTTCAAATAATCATAAAGTTTTCGACATCGAAACTACTTCTTCAATCAACTTTTAGAGATACGTCTTATTTTTACAATATAAAGAGTGCACATTAGACAAACCTCATCCTATATGACCATATCAGAGCATTTTTATTATGTAAGTTAGAGCACAAAATAGCGAGTATGTATTGTGCCGATCAATTCCCATTAAAAATAGCCACTTTATAACTTTTTTTAAAAAAAAATTGAGATTCATCCTATCTAAATCGATAATTCCCTATTTTGGGATCTCCGAGCTCTCTGGCAGAACCAAGCCATTCTGTCATAGAGTCCGCATCAAACCAAGACCAGCCAAACTGTCCCTTCCCATCCGAATCCAAATCAGTGACTTTTTTAGAATGTTTTTTCATGGTTTCTAATTAAATTTGTGAAATCATTGAATGTTTCGAAAGTTACATCTCACCCACCTCTCGTTATAAAAGTAAAAAATCCATCTACTTTCTACGTTTACACTAACTTACTTCTCGTTATAAAATTCGAACATCCATCTCTTTTCTAAGGTTACACCCTTCTCGTTATAAAATTCAAACGTCCATCTCGCAGTCTCAAGCTTCTCTTCTTTTTCCTGCAAATTCGAAGGGGTTTCCCACCCGTGTGCGGTTTAGATAGGGCCGAGACTATGTACAATCCAATTAGAGCCCACCTTCAAATACTATCGAGAAATAATGTTTCAACACTAAAAATATTTGTGTTAGTCTTAAAATATTTAATTATAAAATTTAAAACTTAAAAAATAATGTAGATTGGGTGGATCTATAAAAACTTGAAAATCTTTAAAATTAACTGTTAAAAAATGTGTTACAAAATGCACTATTTCTAAAACTTGAAATCCATTTTTTGTTTCTCATCTCCATACATCTTGATGTCGAGATGATCAATTTGAGGATATTTGGGCATCAAAACGACCTCTTCTTTTGACGAGCCACAAGCCACACCCCTACAAGTGGACACCATGTAGACACCAATCCAGTGGAGGATCTCAATCTTCCAAAGGTATTGTGTGGTGCGGAAAAAAAAGAGAAAAAGATGAACCAAACCTACACATGTGCTTGATCGAGAGGCGTCTCATGCACCGATGTGAAATGCAAAGTGTGTCATCAATTGCCTTTGCACCCTTGCGCAAGAACGATCGTATCCATACACTGCTCTGCATGCCTTTTCTCTTTTGGGTTCTTCCAACACAAGTGAAGATA